AGAGAAACAAGATGGGCTTTCTGCTTTTAAAAATTGGCTTTCACTAAAAGATAAACAGGAAAAAAAAAACTTTAAAGCATAACTAAAAAATCATCACTGCTTTAGGAAAGCAAACGGAAACTAGACTATTATCCAGAGACCAAGTAAATCAATTTCCTAGTAAAAGTAAAATGTGTACAAGTGCCATATTACACTGTACTTCGCATTCATTAAATAATCATGTCAACTCAAGCTTTCAAAGGACTGCCTTGAGAAGTGAGAAGAGGTATTATTCAAAACAAAGTTTCTACCTTACACAAAAATTATTAAATACCTTTGATAATGGTAAATAAAAATAATCATTTTGGATCACCAGTGGCATGGTGGTGAAAGTAAATGGATCCCAACTGCATGGTTCATATCCTGGACCCAGTGGCTTGAGAAATATTGTGAGCATGTGAGCAGAAATGGAGAAGGGATTGCAGCATGACTATTCCCCATAGGGGTTGCTTTCTCACTTTCCCTTCCTCTCTCCCCCTGAGATATGCACACTCCTTTTGGCAAAATTTAAATAATCATAAAAATGACACAACGACAAAACAAAAAATGTATGTGCAAATTTTAAATAACGTGAAACTTAAGTGCAAGATGCCAAAGGTTAACATGGCTGATTACTGAATTGAAAGTTGAATGTTGCTTCCTCAAGAGAGCTTTTACTAATAGAAATGCTACAGACATGTACAACTCAAAAATCACTCAGTTTAAATCCAACATTCTCCACAGACTTAAAAAAAAAAGTTTTAAATTTGTCAAAAAAATGTGGCATCCTGGAAAGTCTGAGAAATATCACCCACACATATAAAGAACGAAAAGACCCTTCTCTGCTTCAAAGACCTTTCAGCTTTGGAATCAACAGCAGGTTTTTTTTTTCCCTACAGAGTACTGTGATACACTTAAGGAATCAGTAACAGAAGGAAAGAAACTGTTCTTTAGTTTTCAAAAAGACCTTAGTTGTGACTCATTTCTTAACAAACTTGGTTGGCCCTGAGTCTATGACAATTACATTTTCTTCTGTTGAGTAAAGTGGAGGTTAGCTGCCAGCGTGTTTAAGGCATATAAACAAGTAGTCCGACCCAGCAAGTAAAAAAAAAAAAAAAAAAACTATTCTATAGGTCCTACCCTAGTGATGCACACTAGGACACTGTGTTGCACAGGCTGTGGAGACATGGGAGACCAAGGTTCAATTCAGGTCCAACCTATGCTCCGGGCACTATGGTGCACACCTGTAATCCAATTGACTTGGGAAGACTAAGGCAAGAGGATCACAACCTGGTAAGATCCTGTCTTAAATTTCTAAATGATTAATTTTTTTAAAAAGTATTTGTAAACATTTCAAAAAAGTCCATATACATCAGCCCAGTATATATTACTATTGATAAGATTTTAAAAATTATATCCTTACCTTTCTCTAGGCCGAGAGCAAATTGTGTGTGTGAGTGTATTTGTGTGTGTGTACGCACTATATTTAGTACTTTCTAGGTATTTGTACTTTTAGCTGCTCATGTAATAAAATGTGACCTTCATGAATGTTTATTATCAATGGGTTACTTTACTTCTTAGATAATAATTACCATTTAAAAAAAAAATTAACAAGGTACCAACAAGCAGACCACAAAAAGTACCATTCCACAGGTCCAGCTACTGAGGTTCATTGGCAAACACAAGTGTCCTACAAGGCAGGAAACCACATGGCTGACCATAAGTTCAGACACCCACTATTAGCTCGAAAACACTAGACACAGGCCAGCACATCGCACAGTGGTTCAGGCAATGAACTCCCACATAAGCAACCAGGGTTCGAACCTCGGACCTGACAGCTCACTTTTTCTCTCTCTCTGGTGGGCACATGTACCCTATAGCTAAATAAATAAATAAAATAATTAAAAAAAAAAAGAAAAAAGAAAATAGAGAAAAAACACTGAACATGTGGACAGGATTCTAAGGAGCTAGAGGCTGGGAAAAGGGGACCACAGTGAGACAAGACCCTATCCAAGGGGGTTCTCTCACTCTCTGCCTCTCTCAGATGAGAACTTGGCTCTCGCTCTAAGAAAGGGTCTTTCCAGAATCTCAGAATTTTAGGTGAGTTCTTCTAGATATGGTTGAGAGAAAGGAAAGGGCACTATATAATTTCAAGTCTTCAAAAAGAGTACTAGAAAAAGCTACATTTGTACAAGCCTTATTAAAAGGCAAGGGTAGCCAAAAAAAAAGTCAAGTTTTCTTTCTTGGCTAAAATGTTATCAGCTCATGGTGCCAAGACTGAATAGGGAATTATAAATATGTGGTTAAATGAAACCAAAACTAGCACTCATCAAATACTGGTATAATAGATGAGTTTCCCAGGCTCAAGTTTCATGCAAAAAAATAAATAAATAAAATAATAATAATAATAATAATAATAAAAAACACTAGACACAGGCCAGCACATCGCACAGTGGTTCAGGCAATGAACTCCCACATAAGCAACCAGGGTTCGAACCTCGGACCTGACAGCTCACTTTTTCTCTCTCTCTGGTGGGCACATGTACCCTATAGCTAAATAAATAAATAAAATAATTAAAAAAAAAAAGAAAAAAGAAAATAGAGAAAAAACACTGAACATGTGGACAGGATTCTAAGGAGCTAGAGGCTGGGAAAAGGGGACCACAGTGAGACAAGACCCTATCCAAGGGGGTTCTCTCACTCTCTGCCTCTCTCAGATGAGAACTTGGCTCTCGCTCTAAGAAAGGGTCTTTCCAGAATCTCAGAATTTTAGGTGAGTTCTTCTAGATATGGTTGAGAGAAAGGAAAGGGCACTATATAATTTCAAGTCTTCAAAAAGAGTACTAGAAAAAGCTACATTTGTACAAGCCTTATTAAAAGGCAAGGGTAGCCAAAAAAAAAGTCAAGTTTTCTTTCTTGGCTAAAATGTTATCAGCTCATGGTGCCAAGACTGAATAGGGAATTATAAATATGTGGTTAAATGAAACCAAAACTAGCACTCATCAAATACTGGTATAATAGATGAGTTTCCCAGGCTCAAGTTTCATGCAAAAAAATAAATAAATAAAATAATAATAATAATAATAATAATAAAACACGTTCAGTGATGAAAAGTAGGAATCACCGATACTTATTAAAAACCCTCTGAAGAAATAAACTAGGCATTATTCCTTTCTGGGGTCTTCTGAATCTTTATGTACAACATTGAATGCACAAATCCTTGCAATGAATAGAAAATAAGGCATTGTAATGGCAAACTCATTGTTGATTCCAGCTGAACAATGAAGAGACCAGCTATTAATTTCTCTCAAATTTCATGCACATCTTATAAAATAAAATAGATGAATATAATTTCCGTGAAAATTAATACAGCTGTCAAAACCAGGTGAAAGAATAGACATGTACAAAATAAATGATTCAGAAATACAGAACTATTTAGAATGACATACAAAGTAATTCACGGTCTGCCCCAAATTAGTACAATCTAACTTTTCCAGTCTCTCACTAGTTCCTCTTGAGGTATCGGTATCCGAACTCTTGCTCATTGCTCTTTCCTTCTCTCTTAAGAGAATGTCCTTCACTTTTATTCTATTTTGGTTGAGACCTGCTCTAATTAACCCTCTCTACTAATTCCTCTAAGCATTACAGTGTCCTATCCATTTTTTTTCCCTATAGTTAATTAGGTACCTCAAAAGTCAGTTTCTTCCTACTCTGACATTTCTTACTCATTTGATTCTGCAGTGTCTTCTTTGAATCCTGAACTACATAGGTACATAAATATATAGATGAAATTAGCATTAATGTGTGGTAAATGGTTTGAATATATTTAACATGTGTGGGTTAATGGTCAAATGCATTCAGTCTGCTTACAAGCAAGGAATTAAGTCAGTCTTAGGATCACCACGTTTTTTTCTTTTTCAAGTTTTTGTTATAGGGTATATGTACTCACCAGAGAGATCGAAGGGAGAAGGAGGGGATGAAATGGGTCCAAAGATTATGGCCACACCACAAACCCTTCTCTTACATTCTCCCCTTGGGATTTGGGGCACATACGCACGTGTGCCCACTGTATTTTCCAAGTCGCCAGATCCAAGACTATAAACCATGCACTCCACCATAAAGATCCAACCACCTTAAGCTCTACACTACCTGGCTGACCTGAGGATAACCATTATTTAGAGCCAACTAAAAAAGTCTCCAGATACTATCATGTATCTCTCCCAGAAAAGGCACATCCTAAAACAAGTGATCAAGTCTCTACAGATAACTGTTGCAGGACCATAAAGAACTCAGTTATTCTGAGAACTAAGAAAGAAAATAAGCAAAGAAAAAAAAAATCCACACACAATGCAAACATCAGAGCACTGTGACCATCATTCTAAAATCAGCAAAAACCACTCAGATTGACCATTTAGATAATCTGAGACAAAAACGTACTATCTGATACTTTGCAGAGCTTATTTCTATGTATTCTTATAAAACCAAAACTGGTGTGATAGTTTTCTTCACATTCTTCATTCTTATTTTTGTTACTCAAAAGTTCTCTATGGCTAAAGTGATGTCTTTTTTTTTTTTTTTTTTTTTTTGAGAGATTTTCACTGTACGGCGCGTGCGCTCGCCAGACAGACAGAGAGAGACATAGAGACAGAAAGCGAGAAATCACCCCCCAGGGGGGATGGTCACGCCGCAATCCCTTCTCCTCCATTCTCCTCTCGGGATCTTGGGCACGCACGCACACGCACCCGGCGTGAGTTTTAAGCCACCGGGTCCGGGACGCGAACCACGGTCGACTACGTGGGAATCCAGCGACATAGCCATTATGCTAACTGCTGGTTCCCTAAAGTGATGTCTTACAAGAAAAAAAAAAAAAATCACCCTACAGACATGATTTCCAAATTATATTTAGTAGTCTATCAAAATGGAAAAAAAAAAAAACCTAAGGTTTTTTCCCTCAACATTCTATACATAATCCAAATTCTTACCATCATCTTTTCAAAATATTCTAAGACTTCTTTCTCTGACAGTGGCTTTGGAAGGTTTTCTGTCATCTCCAAAGATGCTGATGAACAGTCATTGCTTGAAAATGCAGTTTTCAGATTGGAAAGTGGAGGTCTCTCTTTCTTGCTCCCTGGAATTCTTATGCTGGCAAATTTGTCCAACTACAAAGAAAGATAAAACAACATACATGTAAGTATCTCTTTTCCCAACATCATCTAACTTCAAAAACAGGAAAAAAAAAAAAAAAAAAAAAAACTAAGCGAGTCAATCATACCACCACTATAATTTTGTAAGTAGACATTCAGCACTGGACTGGATAAGATTGAAAATAATAATAAGTAGAGACCAGCAGATAGCATAGAATTTACATCACTGGGCTCCCACATAAACAACTGCAGTTTCAGTCCTGGACCCAGTAGCTTCAAAATCACACTGGGTACATGTCATGTGTGTCCAAGATCCAGGGGTGAGAATGGAAGAAAAGGGACTGTGGCATGGCCATCTTCTCAGGGGGTGATTTCTAACTTTTCCTCTCACTGGGTCTGTGTCTGATTCTCATTCACTCTCACTCTCTCTACAGCTAATGCATGCATACTAAGGCAAAACATGTTCAAAAAAAAAAAAAACAATAGTAATAATATAAAACATGGTAACACATTTCTAGTAATCATTCTATCTGAAGTCAGAAGAAAAATAAGACAACCTCAAGAGTCTTCTAATCTTAAAAATCATACAATTACAGATTTTATATTCTAGTGACAGGTAACCTTTGCTTTATAGATTAGCAGCTAATTCTTACAGAGGAAAGAGGTCATTTAGTAGTGGCACCAAACTACTCAGTGTCCCACCCTTTCCCCAGCTCCTAGACCCTTTATCTAATGCTCTTTTCATAATGCATGCTAACTCTTGGTGTGAAGATGGGAGAAAAACCTAAGTTTAAACTTTTAAGAATTGAATTCTACTTATATCTGCACAGCATTTGACTTGATGAATGCATCAGGCTAGTCGATCTCTACTTGAACTTACGCAACATCTAATATACAGGTTGTTTAAAGTCATAGATAACAAAGCCAGATTGTTGTTAGAATGGGAATTCTACAGCTAGATAATCAAGTAATTTATTGATATATTTAAATACATAGGTATTAGTTTATAAAGTTAATTATTCATTCATTCAAAATCCTTTTAATTTCTCAAATTCTAGTCCTCACAAGGAACACTCACTCAGGTTTCAAGACTTACATAATGAAAGTTTCAACAATCTAAACAGCAAAAGTCTTAAACTGAAGTAGTTATCGAGAATAGAAGTCTACTTAAATCCATGATCAGGGCCAAAACCTCTTAAAAAAAAAGGAAAACAAAAAAGCATGATAAAGGATTCTGTAATTATTCATCACTGCTGTTTACATTATTAAGCTACTGTTTTCAATATAATATGTACAATATACAGAACTATAACTTTCATTATAATAGTAGCCACAAGCCACATATGGTTATTAAATATTAAAAATTCTGGGTCTAGAGACAGTAAGGGACCAGACTGACTGGTTGGGTCTTCCATTACCAGCCAGGCTCTCTGAGAGTATCAGAGCCAGGGAAGAAGGAGCAGGGTCACAGAACCTCTCCCACATACAAAGACCTGCACAGCTCCCAGAGATAGTAAGGCATCATGGCTGTTTGGCTGGATCTTCCATCGCCAACCAGGCCTTCTATAGGTCCCAGAGCCAGAGAAGAGCAAGTGTATCAGGCCCACTACCTTAAGATCCACCTCCAAGTCAGCACTCAACCACACTGGAAAATAAAATTTTAGAAATAAGAGGAAAACTGGTGTGGAGCTAAAATATACCACAGAGAAGTGCACAAGCAGATAACCCCAGAAACCTACCAAAAATATAAAAAAAAATAGAAGAGCCTCATCAGATGTCTAGAAAACAAACATACACATCCTATGGCAAAATGAAACACACACATACACAGACACACTCTCTCTCTAAAATAAATAAATAGATAAATAAAACAAAACCCAAAGCCTCAAGAAATAGGAGAAAATCGGGAAGTTTATTTTCCTTAGAAGATCACAGCAACTCCTCAACTAACAATGGAAAAAAAAAAACACACACACACACACAAGAAATGATAGAAATAGAATTCAGAATATTTTTTGTAATGAAACTCAAAGAGATACAAGAAAAAAATGGACAATCAGCTCCAGATTAGAAAATCATTCCAAGACATGAAGCAAGAATTCTATAAAGAGACAGACACACACAACCCCAAAAAAAAGTGCATGCATGCCCAAGACCCCAAGTGGAGAATGGAGGAGAAAGGATTGTGGCGTGGCCATCCACCCAGGTGATTTCTCGCGTTTTCTCTCTCTCTCTTTTTGGCGAGCACATGCACCCTATAGCAAGGTGCATTCCTAAAGGCTGGAATTGTAATACTGCTATCAGACAACATAGACTTCAAGACAAAAGATGTAAGAAGAGGGACCAGAAGTTAGCATAATGGCTATGTCGCTGAACTCCCAGTAGTTGACTGCAGTTTGAGTCCCAGACCCGTGGCTTAAATTCACGCCAAGAGCGTGTGCGTGCGTGCTCTCTCACTTTCTATCTCTCTGTCTCTCTGGCAAGCACACATACCCTATAGCAAAAACCTCTCAAAAAAAAAAAAAAAAAAAAAAAAGATCTAAGAAGAGACAAAAGACTCTATGTAGTACTGAAATGGCAAATCCACCAAGAAGATATAACACTTTTAAATATCTATATTTATATAAACACAAGAGCACCCAAATACATAAAAGAAAGACTGCCAGATCTAGAGGTAAGACTACAACATAATGATCACTGGGGATCTCAACACTCCACTGTCTCCTCTGGTCAGATCATCTAGAAAAATAATGAAGAACAGGGTCTAAATGATACCATAAACTAAATGGACTTGACAGACTTTTGTAGAACATTTCACCCAACAATCGCAAAATGTTTATTGTCCTCACCCCCATGGGACATTTTCAAAGATCAACCACATGATAGGACAAAGCTGGTAAAGAAATAGAAAGCCTCTTTCATTAATTAGTATCTGTAAATCTCCCAAATGTAGAGAAACAATGACATACAAATCCAAGAAGCACAAAGAACACCAGATAAAATCAACATACTAAGATCTTCTCCACAACGCATCAAACTCAGATTGGTAAAAATCAAAGACAGACCAAATTCTAAAAATGGCAAGCCTTGGGACCAGCAGATGGAGTAACGGTTACATCACTGGACTCCCACATAGTCAACCATGGTTTGAGTCCCAGACCAAGCTTAAAATTTACACTGGGCATATGTTTATGCATAGCTAAAATCCTGAGAGGAGAATGGAAGAGAAGGGATTGTGGCCATCGCCCTAGGGGGAGATTTCTCACTTTCTGTCTCTCTGTATCTCTCGGTCTCTCTAGTGAGCACAAATGCTCCATAGCAAAAAAAATCACTCTCTCAAAAAATAAAAAAGCAAGACTTTACAAATTCAAACGTATAAAAACTATACTCAGCATTTTTCTGATCACAATGGAAATAAACTTGAAATCAACTACAGAAAAAGCCTTCAAAAATATAAAGCCACACAGGAACTAAACTTACTCCTGAATGACTTACAACCACTGAAGAAATTAAGACTAAAATCAAAAAATTGAAACCATCAATAACAAACGATCTAGTTTCCATAACTTATAGGACACAGCAAAAGCAGTATTCAAGAGGAAAGTTCATAGCAATTAGTGTTCACAAGGATAAACAGAAAAAGGAAAAAAAAAAAACAAAGAATGAAAACAGCAAGTAGACAACATAACAACACATCTCAGGGATCTGGAGAAACAGCAAAAGAACCCCAAAAACACCAGGAGAAAAGAAATAAGATTAGAGTAAGATTAGAGCAGAAACAAATGAAAGAGAATAAAACAACTATACAGAAAATTTAAAAAAAAAAAAACTGGTTCTTTGAGAAATCAAATTGACATACCGTCAACTAGATGAATCAAAGAGAACAGAGAGAAGAATGAGATAAATGTAATCAGCAATGAAGCAGGCAATATTACAACAGGCATATTGAAATACAAAAGATCATGAAAGAATACTATAATTGACTAGATTCCGACAAACAAAAAAATATAAATGAGATGCGCAAATTTCTGGACTCATATGATCTACGAAGACTTAATCAGGAAGAAATAGAAAGCTTGAACAGACCAATAACAAGAAGTGAGATTGGGTACCAACAAAGAGCCTGATCCCAATGGCTTCAGTTATGAATTCTACAAAACATTTAAAGAAGAGCCAACCCCAATTATCTTCAAATTATTTCTAACGATCAAAAAGGAAGAAACCCTCCCAAATTCATCCTATGAAGCTGCCATCACCCTGATCCCAAAAACAAAGACATAACAAAAAGAAAACTACTGGCTAATATCCCTGATGAATACAGATGAAAAAATTCTCAAAATTAGCACAGAAGGGACATCTCCCAATACAATAAAAGGCATACATGCCAAATCCATGGCTAACATCATACTGAATGGGGAAAAGCTGAAAGGAAAATGTTTCCACTGAAAACTGAAACAAAACAAGGCTGCCTGCTTTCTCCATTCCTGTTCAACACAGTACTGGAAATCTTAGGCAATGCAATCAGACAAGAGTGTAAAATAAAAGGCATTCAAATAGGAAAGAAATAAATGAAATTATCTCTATTCGCAGATGACATGATTATATACATAGAAAACAAAAAAATCCACAAGAATTCTGAGTAATAAAAGAGTATAGTAAATTGGCAGGATTCAAAAACCTATGGTATTTTTAATACACCAACAATAAACAGACCATGGCAGAACTGAAAAAAGCAATCCCCATTTACAACAGCCACACAAAGAAAAGATACCTGAGAATAAACCTAAGAAAGTAAAAGACCTCTACAAGGAAAACTAAGAAAAACTAAGAAAAGAAACTGAAAATGACACATAGAAGTGGAAAAACATCCCATGTTCCGGAGTGGAAGAATATAATCAAAATATCAATTCAACGCAAATTAATTTACAAATATAACACAATTCCAAATTACAGAGATATTTTTCACAAAGATAAAAAATAATAAAATTTATCGGGAATCATAAAAGGCCTCAGAT